GTTGAGATATTTGCATGTGATGCAACAGGAAGTGATGTCAAAGGGAATGTCTGCATGTGAACATTTTAAAAAAATTTTTTACCAATGATTTTAGTATTTCAAATGAATTAGTCATCTTACTTACAATGTGTTGACATTTTTAAGACTTCTGAAATATTGATTTAAGACATTTTAAGGCTAATTAAGGCCTTAATTTTGGATTGATGAATTCAATGACTTTTAAGACTTTATAAGGATCTGCAGGAACCCTGTGCAATGAGACCAGCTTTCCTGACAGCTGCTTCCAGTGCAAGTTTTAACCCCCACTCTCTCTGTGCAAAGGAATGGGTGATAAACAACGGCAGATCATTTAATGTAACATTATCTCAAGGACTTTTAGCAAATTGCAACGTGTCTTCGTCACGTCTGCGGATAATTACCCAGTTGATTCAGTCCTGTTTTCTAAGCATGCGTTGTTGTCAAACACTGAGATAATACTCATGGCACTATGGTTCCAGTATTTCCTCAAACTTCAGTAAACAGCTGAATAGGGCAGAAGCAAATGTAATTTTTCCAGCAAAGTGAAAAATAAAATGACTTGCCTTGTTTTGCAGGGCATTTGAGTATCTTCTCATCATCTCAGGGTCTACTCTTTGGACATCAGGGGGTCGGGACGTAACGGCTTTTGAGGACATTTCGGTCACTGAGGCAGACCCCTTCATTCGCAGTTTGCTGGAGCTACTCCCTGCATCATCCTTACTTTTAACATTTCCTTTGATCGCCTACAGAAGTTTGGATGCAGAGTAGAAATTAAACACAACTGTAATTTACTGAGGAAGCAGCATTGTGTTTGTGTAGTTTCAGCATGCATCTGTCAGAGGTGGCTTGGAACGATGCAGGTGCCATTATTTTCACACCTTGGCATGTTGTCGGAGAGCAGGTGCACATTTTCACTCTSTGTTCTGTTTCCATGGCAAAATATGAGTAACAGACCGTACCTTACCTGTGACTCATCCACGACACAGAAAATCACTCAGCAAAAATATGAGTAGCTCAAACTGTCCTCAGTTCAACGCTTCGTGTATGATGGTGCGTTACAATTAAGTGAGAATTATTGAGTTAACAAGTTGAAGGCTAGATCAGATGTTCATCCTTTCATTTTCTTTAAAACTGATTCTCTCAAATCTAGTTTTTGAATACCATTGAGAAAAGGAACATGGTGGGTGAGAGCAGGAAAACAACCTTGTGTGTTGAAAATAATCAATACGAGTGACATGTTTTGCAAGTTATCTCTTTCAACAAGCTCCTCAGAAACTGAATGGCCATGGTTGCTAAACTACCAGAATAACCTTGCAGGGTGACAAACTTTTGTACAGAAAGACTTTTTTTTTAAATACAAAAGTGCAAACAGAGTGCACAGGTTTAGTGGAACATGTAAATACACAGGGATYATGGTTCATAAAGACAAATATCAAAGAAAGATTCACAGTAAGTTCCTAACATCTATTGGATTGGACTTAGTCCATGGGCTAGGGTGGGTCACCATGCAAAACGTAACAAATAAGACCATTGGTAAACATCCAGAAAGTGTTTGTTGAATTTGAAAAGCTTTCACAGAATTATTCTTTGAACAGCTTGAACTTCAACCAGTTCTAAAGAATTAATATAAAATTTGAGAAATAATGTATCAATTTAAAACAGCTTTATGTCCAATGGTATATGTCATGGACTAATTATTTATATCTGTTTTCCCCTTGACACTGTCCATCGCTTTATCTTTCTGATAGTTCCTGGACGACTCCACAGTGGACTGGTGGGAGTCTGTGATTGGCTGAACAGTACTTTGGCGATCTGTGATTGGTTGTAAACTGACACATGGTGYTGGTATGATGTATATTATTGGCTGTGTTCTGCTGACGCGTCCAGTAGCAAGCATGCAGAACCTTACTGATTCAGTTCTGTGTCGATTGTTGCTCACAATTAAATCATATCTGATTTTCATATACGCAGATTCTTCTCGWATTATTCYGACGTGTTTCTGCTTTTGCGACAACAGTATACCATACAGAGCACAMGTAAACTTCKAACACACGTAAGAGTGAAYCATCTATGTCCCATTTGTCTCCAAACCTATCAAATGCTTCTTGGTACACCTCAAGGTTCTGAAGGAGCTTCATGCCTTTCACTTTCCCTTGTCCCTTAAAGGCACTTGTACTGTCACATCCTGTGTAGGTAGACGTAGYAGAGCAGAACACATTACTGGTAGGAAGAATTGAACTAGCCCTGTAACATGTATGCAACAATTCAATTTTCCTTGCTTGTACCAACATACCATTACTGACGTGTGTTCTGACCACCTTGGTACATTCATTTTTTTATTATCCTTATTTGATAGGAACTATTTCCAGTCTTTTGGTCACTTTGTCTTTTCTGCAATTGCAGTCAGATTATCTCCACACCGTCTTCAAAGCTGCTCAACATTTTTTGACAGAGTCACTCATATACATGTATATAGGTGCTGAAAATATTAGGGAAAGGATGAAAAGCTGTTCCAAGAATCTGCATCAAAGCTTGAGGGATAAGGCATACTCTTTCAGAAGACATCTACGCATCCATTATAAACAGTATACCCACTTCTTCCTTTCAAGGTCATGGGTGTCACTGGTGACCCAGCAGTCACTGTGCGAGGGGCAGGGTACAGCCTTGACAGGTCACAAGTCCGGGCCCCAAAAAGACCAACCAGCCAACCATTCACTCTCTCACTCACACCTAGGGACAGTTTAGAGTTAGTTACCAATTAACCTAATATTCATGTTGCACAGAGAGAACATGCAACCTCTACCCAGAAAGATTCCCTGACCAGGATTTGAACCAGCAACCTTCTTGCTGATATCATTGCATCAGCTCTACCAACTGAGCCACCGTGCCATCTTTCAGAACACAGTACTGCTAAATGGGCAAACAGCCCATTCTGTGTTGACACTGCCTCTGGCNGATGAAAAGCTGTTCCAAGAATCTGCATCAAAGCTTGAGGGATAAGGCATACTCTTTCAGAAGACATCTACGCATCCATTATAAACAGTATACCCGCTTCTTCCTTTCAAGGTCATGGGTGTCACTGGTGACCCAGCAGTCACTGTGCGAGGGGCAGGGTATAGCCTTGACAGGTCACAAGTCCGGGCCCCAAAAAGACCAACCAGCCAACCATTCACTTTCTCACTCACACCTAGGGACAGTTTAGAGTTAGTTACCAATTAACCTAACATTCATGTTGCACAGAGAGAACATGCAACCTCTACCCAGAAAGATTCCCTGACCAGGATTTGAACGAGCAACCTTCTTGCTGATATCATTGCATCAGCTCTACCAACTGAGCCACCTTTCTTTCAGAACACAGTACTGCTAAATGGGCAAACAGCCCATTCTGTGTTGACACTGCCTCTGGCAGATCAGAAGTCRTGGATGGAGGCCTTCTTTTAACATGCTCAAACGTGCTTTCAGAGAACAATAATGTGTGCAGTATTAAGACTTGGTTATAGTCGCGCTTTGGGTAGTCGCAGAGGGCGGGCGCGCACCCTCGTCAGCGGTGGAGGTGTTTATACTTGGCGCTTACATTGTTGTAGGTTTCTCCAAAAGGACCCGTGGAAGTACACTTTATAACGTGTGAAATGTAAATAGGAGAGCAAAGGCATGACGAACAAGCTCTTTGAAAGGCGCGCAGAGCCTTTGTGGAGTTTCAAAATTTCGGAGGTGCACAACCACGTGCGGGGCCAACGTGCAGGGGTGGGGACGGTCAGCACTACAATAGCCCACCTTTTTAAGAGTCAGCATTACAGTTTATGTCATTACCTTGCACAGAGGTACAGAGATGTCTCAGAACTGAAATTTACTCTGCTCTGCTAGGTCTACATATCTCTACAGTATGTATAGAACTGTTAGGGGCAAATGGAAAGTTAAAGGCATAAAGTTCCTTCAGAACAGTGAGGCTTACTGAGGCATTTGGTCAGTTTGGAGACAAATGGGAAGTAGATGATTCACTCTTCTGTGAGTGATAAGTTCACTTGTGCTTTGTATGGCATTATGCGTGTATGTTGGTCTGTTCACAAACACACCTCACCTGCAATCATGCCAACCATCTGCAGGTATGACTGACCTACGTAAGTGGGTGACACCCTTCCTGTAAGAGGAACAGRGGTCTTGCTTTGTCCTYCCTCTGCCTGGATGTGGCTTGATTGGTGGCCTCCTTCCACAACTACTCTTGTTAGAGCCATAAATGAGGATTCACAAGTTATATTTGTACTAATATCTTCTGTCTTTAAATTTTACTGTTAGCAGTAAGTAAACAAGAGCTTATGTTGCCATTATTGTGAAATTCAGATTTTATTTTGAAAGTGTTACTTCCTGTTTAGCCTTGATATGTTTAAGAATAAAAAAGAGACTGATAAAGATTACAGAAGCACAGATTGGTACAGTTTTTTGACTGTGCTAGCTGTGTATTGCTGAAAATAGTATAAAAAATTGTAGAAAATGAATTTTTATTTTCATTTTTTTGTATTTTGCTTGTGGAAATTTTTTCAGACAAAGTATTTTGTTAAAATTTACACGGTCTGGAACACGTTCATTACTTTTCCAAGAATGCTTCAAGAATGACACAGATAATGGATCTGGTGCCATAACAACTCTTTAGTTTTAATAAACCCTTTTTTAGTTAAGTCCATATTTTTGTCTTGTGTCTCATTGTGTTACATCCTTTTGAGCCAGTGGTTTGTAAAAATGGTAATCAGAGAATCACAAACGTTAACAAAATGAGGTACATGAACCTGCTAACCAAATGTGGAGGGAAGGATGAAACTTTTCAGAAGTCAACTAATCTTGACTTGTCTACCTTGCCACCATGTCAGAATAGTCTAGACTCTAGTCTAGAGCAACATGTTAAGCGTGTCTAAAAGTTATAAGTAGGTCCTCTGACAGACTGCTGGAG